TTGTTTAAAGATGAGAGCGCAGAGAGTGAGAATGATTATGGTTACAGTGAAAAAGAAAGGAAACGAGAAGTAAAGTTGTGGTGGAAATAGGGCTGTGGCCGTTATGACATTTTGTCAGCTGGTGATTGTCAAGAAAATAACTGCTGGTCTCATGGTAATTGACCGTTAATTAACATAAACACATTTAGCATCTCCTGGCTTCCAAGCATATCCTACAAGCCACTGATGCAGACCTTTGGAACATCGACATTTTAAAAAGTCTAATAAATCAATTTAATATAGCTTACACCATCACAATAAATCCATTATTTATTTTAGACAGGTCTAAAGAAACATGATATGAAGGAAATGTAATTATTTCAGATGAACAGAATAGCATACTCTGAGTTGTCCTTGTGTTAGGCCCTCATCTGGTTATGCCATATGGCTGTGGGCTACCGTATCAGCCATAGATGGAGTCTAGGAAACCCCTAGACTCATTTATTTTGTCGGAGTGAGATTTTTAGACCAATGTAACCTGGGAGATCCGTTTTGAAGTCTCGATAAATGTCAGGGATGCGTTGGGTGAAGTGGCGTCAGTGAGAGTCAAGAAGTGGGCATATTTGGATTTTTTTGTGTGTCCGCGGAGCAGAAGAGTTCAAAACATTCCACTCATGGAATGTTTTGACCTTCAAAGCAGAGTGCCTATCAAGAGGGTTATCTCTGGGGTGGGGCATAAAGTGTGTGCAGATGAAATATCTGAGGAAGTAGGTGGATTGATTTGTGCACGTGCATTGTGCCTCAAGATGATATATGAGTGGAATGTTTTGACCTTCAAAGCAGAGTGCCTATCAAGAGGGTTAACTCTGGGGTGGGGCATAAAGTGTGTGCAGATGAAATACCTGAGGAAGTAGGTGGATTGATTTGTGGACGTCGACTGACCCGTATGGTTGATGGGGTGAAGAAATTCACTTAATCTATACTTTGGTTATTTCATGTAAAGTTACGCTATATGAGATACCCTGTAAGACCATTCGTGCACAAACCCCTTCAGTGCCATAAATGCAACACATTTGGACATGTGTCAAGTGTATACAGATGGGAAGAGTATCTAATGCCAGTGGAGGTTAAATGCTGCAATTGTTGTGGTGAACATGGTCCCGAGGTGAGAAGAATAAGGGCTGTCCAGTGTGTCTCCTATCTGGAGGAGGTGAGAAGAGTGGAAGGAGCAGGTGGCGTTGAAGACGCTATGTTGTTGGGCCTGCACCAGGGATCTTATCTCTGCAATCAATGGATCCTGATATATTACACGTGGAAAAAGGTGGACTTTGTAGCATTTATTACTATGGTCATAAACTGCACAGCACAAATGAAGAAGAAATCATTGTGAGTGCAGCAAAATGCTTTTTTGGACTCTAAGCCTGTGTAGGGATGTGACTTGAATGTGTCTATTTTTGTATTTTGTAGGATGTCGTTTTTTTCGCCCTTTCCTACAATGGATATTTTTTTGATAGTTTACCACCCGTACAGTAGGTGGCGGCATCCACCTCTAACGATTGTTTGCGGACCGCCATAATACCATAGTAGTAGAAGAAGAAGAAGACGGAAAATAGAATACGGAAAGTAGATTGAAATCCTTACCGGTACGGGACCTACTATGTGTGCACGCAACATTTTTGTATGGGTCTAATTATAGAATTTTACAGGACCTTACAGTGCCTTCGGAAAGTATTCAGACCCCTTGAGTTTTTCCACATTTTGTTACGTTACAGCCTTATTCTAAAATGTATTAAATTGTTTTTCCCCCCCTCATCAATCTACACACATTACCCCATAATGACAAAGCAAAAACAGGTGTTTAGAAATTGTTGCAAATTTATAAAAAATAAGAAAATAAACGGAAATATAACATTTACGTAAGTATTCAGACCCTTTACTCAGTACTTTGTTGAAGCGCCTTTGGCAGTAATTACAGCCTCGAGTCTTCTCGCGTATGACGCTACAAGCTTGGCACACCTGTATTTGGGGAGTTTCTCCCATTCTTCTCTGCAGATCCTCTCAAGCTCTGTCAGGTTGGATGGGGAGCTTCGCATGCACAGCTATTTTCAGGTCTCTCCAGAGATGTTCGATCGGGTTAAAGTTTACATTTGAAGAAAGGACCCAGGGACTCTTGATCTAGTGGTCTTGGTCTTGAGACCACTGAAGACCACATCAATTTGGTCTTTAATTGTCATAGTCTCAACACTCTGGGTCTGGAACTTGGGACCAACGTCCTGGTATAAATCTTGGTCTTGGCTCCTGGATATTACCATAGTCTTTGGTTTACAAACCCTAGGCAACCCAATTTGAAGAAGACAAGGAGGAGGAGAGCCTAGATAATGTAATGCAGCTAAAATACAGGAATGTGATCTACAGGTTGTTGTTGCCAAAATAATATATTACTTAGCGATAACAGAACTAGTGGCAAGTGGCAAAGGTCACTAGCAAAGATCTAACATAGGACACATTAGCATAGGAGATAGCGAGCAATGACGCAGGAAAGTTATAAGGCCAAGTTACAACTTGTGTAGCTGTGGAGATATAATACATACATAATACCTTACACTTTATAACATTAGGAGGATTACTTCCATAGGCATAAATGCACACAGAACTAGAAAAGAACACAGACAAATGTTTGAGGGACAGCTGTAGCTGTAAGTGACCGCTGCCTTCGGTGATGAGCTGGAAACTGACGGATGGAGAGAATTGTGTGCAGACTCTCTCACCGGTGTGACCTCACACCCCAGCTCGTGTCTGAGGGAGCAGGGAGTTCTTCACAATGTGGAAATATTTGACTATCTCCTTCCTGCTCCTCTCCCTGTGTTGTGCCGTTTTGTTCTGACTGAGACTGGCTCTCCATGTGGTCTAAACATCTGGTCTCTAAAGTCACCTAAGCTAGCTGGTCTCTGCTGGACTGGAGGAGCCACATTCCTAGCCCTCCCTGCTCCAGGAAGAGCCGGCTGGCTGGGGGATCAGGGGAGAATTATAAGCCATGTAGCCCCACAAAGTGATCCGACTCTGGGACAGGGAACTGAGCCCTTACTTCCTCATACACCAGATAACGTAACTTACCTGTCCTGCAGCAGGCTTTTGGCACAGACTATTCTGTTCTCTCTACTATGACTGGCAGGTTTGAAGCAGGTGTATGGTCATTGTCAGGCGTACAACTAAAGGCAAAATACACAATTAGGCCTACATAAATGTACCAGTATGCACACATAGGAAACATATTAGCATGGACACAGATAAAGGGCATGCATGCATGCATGCACAAGCTTAAATGGTGTAACACTGTGTTACAAGTGTGTAGAAATCCCGTTCAGAAAATGCAAATCATACATTTCCAACCTGGGAGATCGGAGCACACATGCTGGTATGAGCAGTGCCACACACCCTCTCATAGACACCATGTTGTGCTTGGTCAGTCATGGGAACGTGAAAGAGGATCTGACCAATGCAATGGAGTTGCATTGTGTGTCTCGAGACCTGCAGAGTTACTATCCAACAACAAGAACATAGAACCTTGCTCTATTACGTGATGTTCCAGAGTCCATGCCAGGTTTAGTGCCTTCCCATGAAAAAGATGGGCAATAGAGACTGAATGGGATGAATAATAGAGACTGAACGGACCTTGTTATGATGTTCTATCTCTCCATTGTAGTAGCAGGATCCTCTGCCCTCTGGCACAATAACCGTTTGACAGGTCCGAATAATAAAGGAAATAATTAGTTAGCCTGACGATGCACAACTGTGTGTGTGTGTGTGTTTGTGTGTGAATGCGGTTAGTAGAAGTGGGGGAGGTTAGCTGTAGCAAGAGTACTTCGCCATTGAAGGAACAGTAGCAGATTTGACTCTTTCTACTCCTTCTATGCACTTGTTGCCCCTAGAATGAATAAATAAGCATAAAATAAGTTTTGAGACCCTCAACAAGGAGTCCATCTACCCTTCACTTGTTAATCAATCTGTTCATGTTCTTTTTTTCTCTGTACGCATTTGGATACACAATAGACGGTAGGTTGTGTACATACTATATATTTCACAACAGAGCTCATAACAGTCTTGATGTAAATAAACACAGAGCCTTTGATCTAGTAACTAGTCTCTTAGTGCAGGCAGCTGCAGGAAAGAAGCTTTGTGTGTGTGTGTGTATTTGCGTGCTCATAGAAGGTTCCACTCCTAAGTAAAGCTAGGCTAATCCCGACAGCCAGGGCAGATCATTGTAAGAAGCCAGCTGGAGGAGTAAGGCGTCTGTGTCTGTGTCTGTGTGTCACCCTCATAACCACAGGAGTCTCTGCTCAAAGGAGCCTCTGATGTTAGGTTAATGACACACATCCTGCTCTCACTGCTACAGCCTCTGTATTGATCGAAATAATATAATAATATTAAATAATCATAATAACAAAACTGTATATGCCATTTAGCAGACGCTTTTATCCAAAGTGACTTAGTCATGCTTTCATACATTTTACGTATGGGTGTTGTTTTCCAACCCTGTCCTGGAGACTCCCTGACCCAGCCTTTTCACATATCTGACTTATTCCAGGACTAGCACAACTGATTCAGGTCAACTAGTCAATTTATCAGCAAGCCCTTGATAAGTTGAATCAGGTGGACTCGTGTTGGAAATTAACAAATGTGGAGTGGCTGCTGGTGGTCATGAGGACGGGTTTGGGAAACAGTGATGTTGCTAGTGGTCTATTCCCCTGTTCTACAAGTGTTCTAGGTCTATTCCCCTGTTCTACTAGTGTTCTAGGTATATTCCCCTGTTCTACTAGTGTTCTAGATCTATTCCCCTGTTCTACTATTGTTCTAGGTCTATTCCCCTGTTCTACTAGTGTTCTGGGTCTATTCCCCTGTTCTACTAGTGTTCTAGGTCTATTCCCCTGTTCTACTAGTGTTCTAGGTCTATTCCCCTGTTCTACTAGTGTTCTAGGTATATTCCCCTGTTCTCACAGTGTTCCTGTTGTTGTTCCTGCAGGGTGGAGGATGAGGTGGTGCTGGACAGAGGTGCATCCTTCGTCAAGCATGTCTGTGATGAGGAGGAGGTGGAAGGTAAGAGCACTGAGCCTCTGTGACGTCTATGATGGCTGCTGTACGGCTGGCTAACAATGTTGTTATCTACCACCGACGTCTATGATGGCTGGCTAACAATGTTGTTATCTCATGCCTCTCAACCACCAACTCCAAGGAGTCTACCCCTCTTATTTCTCCCTCTCTTTCCTCTTCCATCCCTTGATTTCTCTCCACCTCTCTGTCTCTCTCTCTCTCTCTCTAGGTCTCAGTTTCTCTTTCTCCCTTCTCTCCCTTCCTCGCTCTTCCTCTCTCCGTCACATCTCCCACTCCTCTCTCTCCTGCGTCATCCTTTTTGCCAGCTGTCACTCTCCGCTACCCTATTTCGTAATGCCCTCTCTCTCCAGGTCTGTGTTTTCGATTGGTTTTCTATTGTTGTGGTTTTCCCACTAATATCAGGATGAAGTATAGGAGCGATTAATATTGAAGATAAAGAAGTGGAGCGCATAACACAGGTTTATCAAGCGATGCCTGCCCCACTCCCCCCAGTGGCCAAAACACACACACACACACACGTTTGCACAAACACATACACACATTCTTACAAATTTCGACACGCACGCACGCACACACATTTACATTTACATTACATTTACGTCATTTAGCAGACGCTCTTATCCAGAGCGACTTACAAATTGGTGCATTCACCTTATAGCCAGTGGGATAACCACTTTACAATATGTAAACACACACACACACACACACACAAAGAGAGACAATCATGTCACAGTTTAAGTTGTGATAGGCAGTGTGTACACAGCCATATCTGCCAGCTATCTCACCTCTCTGTGAGATTCTGTGTTAGAATTTCCCTCAGTTCAAACAAACCCCAAACCCAGAGTTCACCTCACGTGGAGCCACACAGTGAAAATAATCAACAGCCAGAAAAGCCACAGTCACAATGAATGTGAAATAACTCAAAGCCACATTACTCAGTCACGACCAACCTCATGTTTGAATGGATTTTGCCTTTTGGTGGATGACCCCTGGTTGAACTCCACTTGACTCTTTTTTTACATCCCAAGACAGCCTGTCAGTAGTCAGTAGTAGCCATGTAGTCAGTTCTCTGATTTTAAGTGACCTTCGCAAAGCCAAGTTTATAATATAATATTTATAATACCACTTTCAGATAAGATGAGAATATATAAGCAACAATTAAAAAGAAGCCTGTAAAATGTCTTCACTTGACTCCCTAAATCCACTGTGAATGCTACATATACAGTGGGGAGAACAAGTATTTGATACACTGCCGATTTTGCAGGTTTTCCTACTTACAAAGCATGTAGAGGTCTGTAATTTTTATCATAGGTACACTTCAACTGTGAGAGACGGAATCTAAAACAAAAATCCAGACAATCACATTGTATGATTTGTAACTAATTAATTTGCATTTTATTGCATGACATAAGTATTTGATACACCAGAAAAGCAGAACTTAATATTTGGTACAGAAACCTTTGTTTGCAATTACAGAGATCATATGTTTCCTGTAGGTCTTGACCAGGTTTGCACACACTGCAGCAGGGATTTTGGCCCACTCCTCCATACAGACCTTCTCCAGATCCTTCAGGTTTCGGGGCTGTCGCTGGGCAATACGGACTTTCAGCTCCCTCCAAAGATTTTCTATTGGGTTCAGGTCTGGAGACTGGCTAGGCCACTCCAGGACCTTGAGATGCTTCTTACGGAGCCACTCCTTAGTTGCCCTGGCTGTGTGTTTCGGGTCGTTGTCATCCTGGAAGACCCAGCCACGACCCATCTTCAATGCTCTTACTGAGGGAAGGAGGTTGTTGGCCAAGATCTCGCGATACATGGCCCCATCCATCCTCCCCTCAATACGGTGCAGTCGTCCTGTCCCCTTTGCAGAAAAGCATCCCCAAAGAATGATGTTTCCACCTCCATGCTTCACGGTTGGGATGGTGTTCTTGGGTTTGTACTCATCCTTCTTCTTCCTCCAAACACGGCGAGTGGAGTTTAGACCAAAAAGCTCTATTTTTGTCTCATCAGACCACATGACCTTCTCCCATTCCTCCTCTGGATCATCCAGATGGTCATTGGCAAACTTCAGACGGGCCTGGACATGCGCTGGCTTGAGCAGGGGGACCTTGCGTGCGCTGCAGGATTTTTATCCATGACGCCGTAGTGTGTTACTAATGGTTTTCTTTGAGACTGTGGTCCCAGCTCTCTTCAGGTCATTGACCAGGTCCTGCCGTGTAGTTCTGGGCTGATCCCTCACCTTCCCCATGATCATTGATGCCCCACGAGGTGAGATCTTGCATGGAGCCCCAGACCGAGGGTGATTGACCATCATCTTGAACTTCTTCCATTTTCTAATAATTGCGCCAACAGTTGTTGCCTTCTCACCAAGCTGCTTGCCTATTGTCCTGTAGCTCATCCCAGCCTTGTGCAGGTCTACAATTTTATCCCTGATGTCCTTACACAGCTCTCTGGTCTTGGCCATTGTGGAGAGGTTGGAGTCTGTTTGATTGAGTGTGTGGACAGGTGTCTTTTATACAGGTAACGAGTTCAAACAGGTGCAGTTAATACAGGTAATGAGTGGAGAACAGGAGGGCTTCTTAAAGAAAAACTAACAGGTCTGTGAGAGTCGGAATTCTTACTGGTTGGTAGGTGATCAAATACTTATGTCATGCAATAAAATGCAAATTAATTACTTAAAAATCATACAATGTGATTTTCTGGATTTTTGATAAAATAAAAATTACAGACCTCTACATGCTTTGTAAGTAGGAAAACCTGCAAAATCGGCAGTGTATCAAATACTTGTTCTCCCCACTGTAGGCATGTAGCATGTTAGCATGTGTGTGAGATCACACTAGGGCAGGGCTCTCCAACCCTGTTCTTGGAGAGCTACCATTCTGTAGGTTTTCACTCCAAACCTAATCAACCCTAACCTGATTCTAATAATTAGCTGGTTGATAAGACGAACTGGGTTAGTTACAACTGAGTTTGGAGTGAAATCCTTTAAGAGGGTAGCTCTCCAGGAACAGGTTTGGAGACCCCTGCACTAGGGAATGTGAGTTCTGTTTTGTATAGGTTACCCATGCCAACCAAAAACCTACATTAATGTACATTAGGATTGTGTATACAGCCAAGAACATTTGACCAGGCTGGGATACAGGAAGCTGTGAGCTGGAGCATCTGACACTGTGGGACTGTTTCTGTTTCTTTCTCTCTCTGAAATGACTTCCTGGAGATGTTTAGCAGTTTCCTGTCAGAGCTGCTGCACAGGAAGTGGTTGAAATGTATTTACATCCCCAACATGTGTCAGGATGAGGACAGATCCCAGTCTGATTGACCCAGGGGAAACAGCCTGACGAACAAATAACTGACTAAACGTTTTATCAAACAAGCTGACTAAATAGGCCAGCAGCAGTGTGTGTGTTTTGTCAGATACATTTTGTTTGGTAACAGCCTAATTCATACCTAAAAGGCAGGTAGCCATATCGATGTGTTCTTTGACATCCAACCCTCCCCCTATCAAATCTAATCCATCCTCCTGTCTTTCCCATAGTTTTCTTACCCAACTGATCCTCATTGACTTTGTGCATTTCTTCCGTTTGATGCGGATTATCAGCATGGCAGGATTCATGTTATTTTCTTGGCATAGCAATCGTAGTCCTCCTAATCTGACCTGCGTCCTTTGCATTGTGTCCCCTCTCCCTCTCTCTCACTCAGGTCACCACACCGTGTACATCGGTGTGCACGTGCCCAAGAGCTACCAGCGGAGCCGGCGCCACCGACGCAAGTCCAGCCACAAGGAGAGGAAGGAGAGGCCGGTGGAGAAAGTAGAGGGGGACAAAACGGACGGCGAGAACACTGATGAGGCAGCGCCCAACATCCTCAAACCCCTCAGTGAGTAATGACAGCCCAAACTACACTACCCAGCATGCATCTCTACTAGAAAAACAAGGAGTGAATAGATCTATGGATCTTTCAACCAATAAAATGAATGTAAACAAGTCAAGCCAATATACTGTAATTAAGCAGTGAATACAACTATAGGGAATAATCAACCAACCAGTTCACGTTTCACTTAGATTTGGTAAATCTGTCATTTTGTCAGCTCTGGGATACTGTATGTTGACATTAAAAAATGTACAGCATTACTGACTGAGAAACTATTACCTAATTCCCCTGGCCTAGTATTGCCTAGTAACACATCGTTGTTACCCAAACCTCACTACATCAGTGTTCACGGCTGTGTTACTTTTAGCTGTTGGTTCACACTAGACCACTCAACAGTGTTGCTGCGAGTCTCAATCCAAGTGGAGTTATTTTTATGCTAAGAACGCTATTTCCAAACTGCAGGCTTAAACCAGAGAATAAATGGGCAGAGATGCTTGTCAGTGATAACTCATTTGGTGTCACAACAAATAGAGTTGTGTCAAAACCATAACAATCCAAACCACAATAAGCAACTTTCACACATTCAGGGTTTCTCTTGACTGTGCAGTTACCCTTGCTTACAGTCAACCGCTTTAATCCAGCGTGTCGATAGCCCTTAATGTTTGTTTAATTACTTTGGGGCTCAAAGTTGATGGCCTAACAGCAGTATAGAGACTATCACGCTGCAGAAGTACAGCAGCACGCAGCAGTAGCAGTATCTCTAGTTGGTGATTGAAAAGAGGGAAATAGGGGACAGAAGGAGATTCATTCTCCTCTGTTTGGGTCACTGATGGAGTTTAGATCTGGTTGAAAGATCCTACTGACCCCATGGATGTGACCATCAGGACACACACTTTTTAAAGGGAAGGCAAGTGGAGGTAGACAGAGATCAGAGTTATGGCATTGCTCTACAGATGGTCATACTATCAACAAACTGTCTGTTGGAAAGCAACTGCTTGCTAAGGTGAGGGTTAGGTATATATGGAACGGTATTGAACACAGCAAACATATGGGAACCACATGTTTGACTCCATTCCATTTAATTATATTCCAGCCATTACAATGAGCCCGTCCTCATATAGCTCCTTCCACCAGCCTCCACTGATCCATAAAGATACTCTTGATTGAAATTTGTGGTCCATGGTATCTTATCTCTGTCAGTGTCTGTCCTAAATTTGTATTGTAACATTTATATATGTGTACGTTCCAAACAGAGCAATGCACACATATAAAAACAAAGCATTAGTGGCTGTTTATGGAGTTCTTATCTCTGCTTGGATGCAGTGGAACAGAACCAGACAGACTCAGGGACGTGGGACTCATTTGGCTGTGACAAGGCACCCAGCCAGCCAGACAGCCAGTATCTGTAGTGTGTACTTTACCATAATCCCCTCTCTGTCTGCCTGTCTGTCTGCCTGTCTGACACTACCTGTAGTATACACTTTTCCTTAAACGCTCCTCTCTGTCTGTCTGCGAAATGATGTTGCTGTAAACAGCTCTGTGTGGTTGACTGAGAGGGTAACTAGAGGGAATACCATCACACGGTCTTGAACCGTGGATTCCCCCCTGAACTATAAACACTCTGACACTCTGTATTGAGGATTAACTTATCTATTAACACTTATGCCAAGTGTCAGTACACTGAAGAGGTGATTATATCGTTGACACAAATTCCCTTCACCTGGTCCTGTTCTTGGTCTATAGCAGGATCTTGAGAGGGTTGTGGTCATGTCACCAACTCTGGTTAGCTACTAGGGATGTGCATCTTTCCCTTTCAAGACGATTCGATACGTATCTTGATACATGGGCTCTGATACGATACAGGAACGCTACATTTGAGTTTGAGACAATTCGGTGCGATTCAGTTTGATTAGAGAACAAATCGCTACGATTCGGTTCGACGGGATAAGATTTGATGCACTAACATTTGTTGCATAAGCACATTTATTTTCCATTCTAAATTAAAATCTGCTTCTGATGGAGCTCATGAGCTGGGCCTCTCTGAGCTGGATCTGTCTGAGCTCACTTCTGTGTGTGTGTGTGTGTGTGTGTGTGTGTGTGTGTGTGTGTGTGTGTGTGTGTGTGTGTAAATGATGTATGTACTCTGTAGGCACCTGATCTGAGCCATAAGGGAGACTAGGCATCTACCACCATCAGATTAGGGGGGACAATGTAGCCCATGTTTTTTGTCCCCCAACATTGGTTCTGAAATCACCATCACCCACTAAATAACTTGTCATTTTTTTAGATTAAGTGTTTTAGATAGTAATGTATGAATATTTATCATTTAGAAATTAGCTATGACATAGCCAGTGAATATATAGCACAACTTAGAATTTCAACCTCATCTCAAAATCAAATCGTTTTGACCGTTTGGAAGTTTTTATGGAGTGATCTTCTCTTCTCCTCTTGCTTTGGCCATGCAGGGCACCTCGCAAAAATAATTGATGTCATCGTTATGAAATGATCAACTATACCGTGTATATCTTAAAATGACCATATACGCTGATTGTTTAAAGCAAAACTACCAAAACTATTGCTGATGTTGAACCTGAACAATAAAAATACAATTGGTTGGAAGCCCCGTTCAGCAGTTATAGCCAGATGAGAGTTGTGTATCCGGTAGCTTACATTTACTCCTGTAAAACACACACACACACACATATATATATACACACTACCAGTCAAAAGTTTGGACACACCTACTCATTCAAGGGTTTTTCTTTATTTTTACAATTTTTTACATTGCAGAATAATAGTGAAGACATCAAAATTATGAAATAACACATATGGAATCATGTAGTAACCAAAAAAGTGTTAAACAAATCAAAATATATTTTATATTTGAGATTCTTCAAATAGCCACCCTGTCATGATCGTCGAAAGGATTGGACCAATGCGCAGCGTGGAATGCGAACATCTTTTATTTATATTTCACCACACGAACAAAAACAACAAAACGATACGTGAAGTCCTTGGGTACAGACACAAACCAACACAGAACAAGATCCCACAATACACTGTGCCAAACAGGTTGCCTAAGAATGGTTCCCAATCAGAGACAACAAGCAACAGCTGATTCACGTTGGCTCTGATTGAGAACCACCTCGGCCAACATAGAAACACATGAACTAGAAACTGACACAATGAACACAAAACATAGACTCTACACACCAAGGCTCAACATAAAATAGTTCCTAGAGCCAGGGCGTGACAGTACCCCCCCCCAAAGGCGCGGACTGCGACCGCGCCAACATAAACCGAACAGGGGAGGGCCGGGTGGGCATTCCTCCTCGGAGGCGGATCCGGCTCCGGGCGTGACCACCACCCTCTAATAACCCCCCCGTAGTGCCCCTGGTCTGGTCTGGCCCCGCTGGCTGGAGCTGGACTGGACATCGGTGGAGCGGATTGCTTAGGCTCCGGTGTGGAGCAGCTGACCGGTACCTGACCAGGCACCGGCGAACCAGGCACGGGCTGTGCCAGACCGGGCTGACGATGCGCACCACAGGCTTGGTGCGGGGAGCAGGAATGGGCCGGACCGGGCTGACGACGCGCACTCCTGGCTTGGTGTGGGGAGCAGGAACGGGCCGGACCGGGCTGGCGACGCGCACCATAGGCTTGGTGCGAGGGGCAGGAACAGGCCGGACCGGGCTGGCGATGCGCATCACAGGCTTGGTGCGAGGGACAGGAACAGGCCGGACCGCACTGGGAACACACACCACTGGCCTTATACGGGGATCAGGAACGGGCCGGACCGGACTGGCAACACACTTCAGTACCTCTCGCCGTGCCTCTACACTTTCCCTCCCTCTAATCACCAATGGCTCCCGTAACCCGGTGGCCTTCTCTCCTCGTCCACAAACTCGCCCTTTATCTGCCTCCAGCAGCCCCGTCATCCATGCCATGTGCCCCCCCCCTAAAAATGTCTTAGGGTTGCCTCTCGCCTGTCCGACGACGACACTGTTGGCGCCGTACCTCCTCTCTCGCCAAGGCTTTAACCTTTGCCCATGGTCCTCTAACCTCGAACATGTCCTCCCAGGACCACCATTGGCCCACCTGGGCCATCGCCAACTTCTCCATCTCCTTACCCGGCGTTAGCTCCAAAACACGCTGCTTGGTCCAGTATTGGTGGGATCTTCTGTCACGATCGTCATTTGATGAAACGTGCCAATGCGCAGCGTGGAATGCGAACATCTTTTATTTATATTTCACCACACTAACAAAAACAACAAAACGATACGTGAAGTCCTTGGGTACATACACAAACCAACACGGAACAAGATCCCACAATACACTGTGCCAAACAGGTTGCCTAAGAATGGTTCCCAATCAGAGACAACAAGCAACAGCTGATTCACGTTGCCTCTGATTGAGAACCACCCCGGCCAACATAGAAACACATGAACTAGAAACTGACACAATGACACAAAACATAGACTCTACACACCGTGGCTCAACATAAAAGAGTTCCTAGAGCCAGGGCGTGACACACCCTTTGCCTTGATGACAGCTTTGCAAATATAAAATATATATTGATTTTTTTAACACTTTTTTCATATGTGTTATTTCATAGTTTTGATGTCTTCACTATTATTCTACAATGTAGAAAAGAGTACAAATAAAGAGAAACCCTTGAATGAGTAGGTGTGTCCAAACTTTTGACTGGTAATGCACAGTTGAAGTCGGAAGTTATTTTTGTATAGTGGTTGAAAAACGATTTTTAATGTCTCCAACCTAAGTGTTGGAATCATTAAAACTCGTTTTTCAACCACTCCACAAATTTCTTGTTAACAAACTATTGTTTTTGCAAGTTGGTTAGGACATCTACTTAAGTAAGTAATTTTTCCAACAATTGTTTACAGACAGATTATTTCACTTATAATTAACTGCATCACAATTCCAGTGGGTCAGAAGTTTACATACACTAAGTTGACTGTGCCTTTAAACAGCTTGGAAAATTCCAGAAAATTATGTCATGGCTTTAAATGCTTCTAATAGGCTAATTGACATCATTTGAGTCAATTGGAGGTGTACCTGTGGATGTAATTCAAGGCCTACCTTCAAACTCAGTGCCTCTTTGCTTGACATCATGGGAAAATCAAAAGAAATCAGCCAAGACCTCAGAAAACAATTGTAGACCTCCACAAGTCTGGTTCATCCTTGGGAGCAATTTCCAAATGACTGAAGTTACTACGTTCATCTGTACAAACAATAGTACGCAACTATAAACACCATGGGACCACGCAGCCGTCATACCGCTCAGGAAGGAGACGCGTTCTGTCTCCTAGAGATGAACGTACTTTTGTGCGAAAAGTGCAAAAACAATCGCAGAACAACAGCAAAGGACCTTGTGAAGATGCTGGAGGAAACAGGAACAAAAGTATCTATATCCACAGTAAAACAAGTCCTATATCGACATAACCTGAAAGGCCGCTCAGCACGGAAGAAGCCACTGCTCCAGAACCGCCATAAAAAAAGCCAGACTACGGTTTGCAACTGCATATGGGGACAAAGATCGTACTTTTTGGAGAAATGTCCTCTGGTCTGACGAAACAAAAATATAACTTTTTGGCCATAATGACCATCGTTATGTTTGGGGGGAAAAGGAGGAGAGCTTGCAAGCCGAAGAACACCATCCCAACCGTGAGGCACGGGGGTGGCAGCATCATGCTGTGGGGGTGCTTTGCTGCAGGAGGGATTGGTGCACTTCACAAAATAGATGGCATCATGAGGGAGGAAAATGATGTGGATATATTGAAGCAACATCTCAAGACATCAGTCAGGAAGTTAAAGCTTGGTCGCAAATGGGTCTTCCAAATGGACAATGACCCCAAGCATACTTCCAAAGTTGTGGCAAAATGGCTTAAGGACAACAAAGTCAAGGTATTGGAGTGGCCATCACAAAGCCCTGACCTCAATCCTATAGAAAATGAGTGGGCAGAACTGAAAAAGGGTGTGCGAGCAAGGAGGCCTACAAACCTGACTCAGTTTCACCAGGTCTCTCATGAGGAATGGGCCAAAATTCACCCAACTTATTGTTTGAAGCTTGTGGAAGGCTACCCGAAACGTTTGACCCAAGTTAAACAATTTAAAGGCAATGCTACCAAATACTAATTGAGTGTATGTAAACTTCTGACCCACTGGGAACGTGATGAAATAAATAAAAGCTGAAATAAATCATTCTCTCTACTATTATTCTGACATTTCACATTCTTAAAATAATGTGGTGATCCTAACTGACCTAAGACAGGGAATCTTTACTAGGATTAAATGTCAGGAATTGTGAAAAACTGAGTTTAAATGTATTCGGCTAAGGTGTATGTAAACTTCAGATTTCAACTGTATATGTTTTTGTACGATTTTATTTTATTGTTTAGAAACAATACAAAACGACAACATCATACAAACATCAACTACATCACACCTGCCCACACCCACTAGCGCATACCCCATCTCCAGCGTCCGCATCACTTTCCGCCACATGGCCTGAAACTTCACCATTTTGTTTCTCTCCGTAGCCCACGCACTTTCAATATTTAAATAATAAATCATTATATTTTTCCATTGTGTTAGTTAATGATGGCGGATTGATTGATATCCAAGTTTTTAGTGTACGTTTTTTCAAGATGAGTGATGAGAAGAGAATCGTCCAACCCGTCGGAAATCTCACTACATCCCCATATGCCATATCTTGAAGTATGCAGACAGATGGATGAAAAGTATGTTTACATTTGTAATACTTCTGACAGCCAACTTGCTACCTCCGCCCACAACTTCCGGACTAAATAGCACTAACAGAAAGCATGGATTATTGAGTCATTGTTTGTTTTACACTGAAGACATGACTCTGCCGTTGTGCTGTAAAACACTATTTTCAACAGCACATAGATGGCAAATGACAAGGTGGTCACTCAACTAATGAAGCCTAATATCACGCAAGCCATTTGAGCATTTTAGGCCGCCTACCTCGCGTTGGTCATCGCGCAAAGCTAGGCACAGTGCACAATTTGACTAGGCTACTGATAGTGCCTGGGGTTGTTCGGCAAAATGACTTGTAGAGCAATGACTGTCAACACAGTTACATGCAGTTCGACACTGAAGGAGAGAGTGCATCAGTTGTCACCAAAGGTAGAAGGTAGAAATTATTTAATAATAGCAAAAAAAAATTGTGAACCGGCGATTCATAACGTTTGAATCGATTTTCTGACCGATGCATGCTCCATTTGGATCGGTTTGGGGTCTGCGGACCTTGTATCTTAAACATTTAAATAGGGGACCGATGCGTATTGGTGAATCCTAACACCCCTATTAGCTACCTGCTCCTAGACCAAGACAGTTACAGATTGTGCAGGCTTTTATTCCAGCCCAGTGCTAAAACACATGATTCACATGATCTACTACTCATCAAAACCAAGATGAGTTGAATCAGGTGCTTTAGTGCAGGGCTGGAAAAAAAGCCTGCACTCTTAGTTAAATGTATGTCCCTTAAGGGTCAGAGAATAGTGTACAGGGGATGTGAAATGTGAAGGGTATGAGAGGATAGGAAAGGAGGTGTCAGATGCTACAGTACATCATGTACGTGTTACCTGCTCCTAGACCTAGACAGTTACAAGGTGTGCAGACATGTTCACTAGTGTGAAGGGTATGGGCTAGGGTTGAACATTTTCCCAGTATTTTACAAATGTTCCATCCTGAGAATAAATCACTTTTCTCCCGGGTAACCCGGTATTTCCCACCAAAACCAGAAGTGTCATTCAAAAACATTATAATGCGTATAAACTTGTCTGGATTTGATTCGAGCTTTGATCAGCATGAACATTCAAACCTGATTCTACCTGAGCCTGATGAGCCATATATTAAATACATTTTATGAACCCTACATTAACGACATTTTATGAGCCCAATCCCAAAAAAGCCCAAATGATTGTGCCATTATCCAATACATGTAGCACAGCCTATGATACAGGCTGCTGCACATTACGCAAGACAGAAAAACATAAAAGCCCATAGATGTAGCTAGCTATATGCTCTCTTGGGTAAATAAATGGAACTAGCTCCAGTAGGCTAATCTTTATGAGTGTGAACTGTATTACAGTACTGTATTGTATTATACTGTATTATATGGACTGGAATTACGTACATCATTCAAACCATGATAAAGCAGGGAGAGAACATGCGTTTCTGGTGCAGCACATGCGACCTACAAAGTTACAAGTATAGGCTAGTGAATTTGTTTTTAATTTTGAAATATAATAGGGCCTATTTGTATAATTAGTAAGCTGACGCATATATACCTTTCATAATATTTCCCCTAACGTTATTAGCCTACCTCCTCTTTCTCTCTCTATTTTTGCTTCATTCCTTCCTCACTTTCAACAATTAAATGAAATAAGTTTCCTTATCTTCATCATTCTAATAACTTCCTTGAATAATATAGAACTAGAATTTCAGCCTCTTTGAATAGTCTATTGGTATAAGAAATGCTAAAACAAATAATGTCCAGCAAACTATTATAGTCTAGCTTTTTCTGCATGGGACTCCAAGAGCTAAGGAGCAACAACGATATTCGAGTGATACGATGTTTTAAAACCCTGCAGCTGCATAAACAAAAATATATAATCTTTACAATGAAAAACAAGGTGATCCCCGAAAGCCAGATGGAGATGGGTAAATTAGACGCGCATTCGGTCTTTATATTAGTGTAGCATAGGCTATTCTGCAGCAAATGTAGGCCTACCTGTCACAAGAAAGAAAGTTACCATGATGAGAGATGATAGGTCTACATGCATTGTGAAATGCGCTCCATACTGAGATGGGTCTGTCCCCACCCTGAGCGTTGATTCATCATGCAGAGGCCATAGAGAAGCCAGATTTAGACATTGCATATCATTTAACAGTTCCATTTCATGCCATGCTGTTCATATAAATAATGTATTATAATTTACCAGTTTCTTGCAGTATTTATCCTGGGAAAAGGGAGTGGTTTTGGGCGATAAATCCCACTAACCAGGTTCCCGCCATTCAACCCTGGTATGGGTAACGTGCCACCGCGTCAGACAGTGCAACCTCATAACACAGACACCTACCCTACAAGTCTACAGTACATAAACTCAGACTTCTAGGATTTTCCGATGGCTGGCTGTTTTGCCCTCTGGCTAATTCCCCTTAATCCTGTTGATTTTGGCCAACAGTGTGAAGCCATCCACTTGAGAGTTGTGTGCAACATCAACAAAGCCCCGGTTTTTATTGATAACACCAGTTGGTAGATTTATGAGGTGAATGGCTTGGTGTTCTGTACGGCGTTAACAAACACTCCCTTGTAAAAGTCAGGCCCTAAAAGTCTGACAGACAGGAGTAAGACCTAAGGGCAGACAGGCACACACGTATGAGCGCTAGCATGCACGCACGTACATGCACACACACTGCAGACATCAGAGGGACAAAATGTTGCCTTAAGGCCGTGTGTGTGTGTGTGTGTGTGTGTGTGTGTGTGTGTGTGTGTGTGTGTGTGTGTGTGTGTGTGTGTGTGTGTGTGTGTGTGTGTGTGTGTGTGTGTGTGTGTGTGTGGTGTGTGTGTGTGTGTGTGTGTGTGTGTGTGTGTGTGTGTGTGTGTGTGTGTGTGTGTGTGTGTGTGTGTGGTGTGTTTGTTTAGGGTGGCTAATATGCTCTAGTCTAGTGAAAATATCCCTTATGTCTGTATGGTCTATGTCAGGGAGACCTAACAGTCTGGTGTACTATATACAAGACTGGAAATATAACTCTGTATGTCCCTTGTCTTGTCTGGAATATGTGATATTTATTTACACTGTGATTTATTCCCTCTTTGTTTATTTCGAGCAGTTAAACAGTATGACTTTGTATATGGGCATCTCCTAATGGAACAGGACAAAGTTGTCCTAGAAAATAAATAAATATGACAAACTACAACAATGGAAAACTGTATTTATAGAGCACAACTACTACCAATGCAGCACAAAGTGATTAGCCGTGGATTAAAAGCTTACTTTAAAAAAAAACTTTTCCACAGCTAATTATTTCATCATTATTTTGTGAACTATATAAAGCAGCTCTTAAAGGGACAATCCGAAGTTGAAACAATAACACTGTGGCATCCCCACCCCTGTTTCGGTGAAAAGCTGAGGGCTGTGATTGGAGAAATGTAAGCACTCTCAAATTCATAGATAGAGCAAGGGATGCTAGGACTGAGCATCCATGATATCACAATTATAGTTTTTTGAGGCTATACAGTGTTTGTTGACATTTACTTTGTTTATAAACATTGGAGTAAAACAAGCTCCTATTTTGGGTTCTGATGGGGTGTGACAGATGAACTAAGCTCATGGGGCATGTATCAATCGGAACATATCATTAATTAATAAGTCAAAAAATTGATGTTGCAACTGCAGATTGCCCCTTTAAGTCCTCTCTGGTGTGTGAGAGTGTTTCTTAGGTGTCAGTAAGTCAGTTAGTCTTTGGAGCTTATTAATGGCTTCCGTAGGAAACTCTCTTCCTTCAGAAATAGCCTGGTGATTGACTTCTTAACATCCTCATTGTGACATCGACTCTACAGGAGTTGCACAACTTTTCCCCTCCTATTCATAGAAGTGATAGCAGATGTCAATACAACTCTATCTATCCCACAAATGTACTTGTGACGACATTACTCTCATGTATATCAGCTCTAACCTTAAAAAAACAAAACACTTTCTCTGAAGCTATCTCTCAATGTATACACCAAGTTATCTGTGTGACATTTTATGGTCTTGTTTAAGTAACGTAATCCCAGTTAACCCAGAACTATGCGGAACAGATAGTCTTTCCATGGAGAGATTAGAAGTGATATGACTCAGTAGTCACACACACCTGGTGTCAAGTAGACATAACCCCTGTTCTTAGAAGGAAGTCATTTTCCTGAAATGCACATACACACGGAACATGTCTGTTTATCAGGTGTGTGATTGTCTACCATCACTCTACGCATTCCATCAGCTCTGGCTTAGTGTGTGTCTCATTCTGGAAGCACTGCTCCTAGGAATTAGGGAGCTCTGCAGGGAGATCAGAGTAGAGTGAGCTAAACATACACATGTATTTACCATCACATTTATTTACTAGTATTTTATTCCTGTCTTTATATAATGGGTTGTTATGTGATGACATACAGATGGGAGCTGTCAGTGAGCACACTACAACATGACCTCCAGTAGTAGTGATCTATGATATTACTGACACAGGCCTACCTCAGACCTGGGGTTAAAGTTCTCCGTCACGGTGACGGATTTCTATCATATGGATGACATGAGAGGTTTGAGGAATAATTATTATTTGGGGTTAAAAAAACACTCCAGGACACAATTTAACGTCTAAAACTAGATAAAGTATTTTCTAATAACTGCGCTTTTTCTTGCACGCAAATTGATTTTGACGAACAAATCGGTCATAAAAAAAAAATCTGTGCGGCCCTCGATTTCAAAATCTCAATATGGCCCTTGAGCTGAGATTGACTTACGTTTCAGTTCTGAGATTTTTTTTGCTTTAGCCCATGAGCCTCAGACCCTCGTGTGATCTTTCTCTCCTCTTTGCTCCCTTTCTCTCTCTCTCTCTCTCTCTCCGCTCCCTCTCTGCTCTCTCTCGCCGCGCCCTCTCTGCTTTTCCTCTCTCCACTCCTCTGCTCTCTCTCTTTTCCTCCTCCCCCTCCCCTTCCAGTCTCTGCAGCAGCAGAGAGGATCAGGTTCATCCTGGGTGAGGAGGATGACGGCCCCCCGCCCCCTCAGCTCTTCACTGAGCTGGACGAACTGCTGGCCGTCGATGGACAGGAGATGGAGTGGAAGGAGACAGCCAGGTGAGCAGTCATCTATACACGTGCATATGGTGTACTGTACGCACACATATGCACTATACTCGCGCATACACGCAAGCATGCATACACACACACACACACACACACTGACTCTTTCCTTTAGTTGGAGACTCGGTCAGTAAATCACTGTCGCTCATGTGCGTCTGTTAAAATGTCATGGCTTTACACGGTTAACCCCCTTGGACCTTGGGCCATCAAGGCTTAGGAACGTTAACCCCCTTGTCACCAACACACACCCAGCTGTGGTATATCGCAGTAGCGGGTGTGTGTATAGATGTAAGCGTGAGTAGGGGAGTGTTCGTGTGTGTACATGAATTAGGGCTGGGAATTGCCAGGGACCTTACGATATTATCATGATATTTAGGTGTCGATAAGATATGTATTGCAATTCGATACTGCGCTTGTATTGCGATTTGATGTGCCAAATATATTGCTCACTAGGCTATACACATTAAGAACACTTGCTCTTTCCATGACATAGACTGACCAGGTGAATCCAGGTGAAAGCTATGATCCCTTATTGATGTCACTTGTTAAATCCACTTCAATCAGTGTAGATGAAGGGGAGGAGACAGGATAAAGGCTATTTAAGCCTTGAGACAATTGAGATATGGATTGTGTATGTATGCCATTCAGAGGGTTAATGGGCAAGACAAAAGATTTAAGTGCCTTTGAGCGGGGTATGGTAGTAGGTGCCAGGCACACCGGTTTGAGTGTGTCAAGAACTGAAACGCTGTTGGGTTTTTCACACTCAACAGTTTCCCGTGTGTATCAAGATTGGTCCACCACCCAAAGGACATACAGCCAACTTGACACAACTTTGGGAAGCATTGGAGTCACATTGGGCCAGCATCCCTGTGGAATGCATTTGACACCTTGTAGAGTCCATGCCCTGACAAATTGAGGCTGTTCTGAGGGCAAAAGGGTGGGGGGGGCAACTCAATATTAGGAAGGTGTTCTTAATGTTTTGTACACTCAGTGTATATCTGCTGCAGAGACACCAGAGAGAGCACGGGAAAATTAGTTTTCATCAGTCATGAAAATAAAAGTGCTGAAAACATGTTGGCTCACTATTGAAGATGGAGAACAAGCTATAGGATGAAAAATACCGGAGTTTTAGTGCAGGTACAGCCAATTAGCGCTAACGCTACCCAACAAATTATTATATATGTTATTATTTATTTATTTATTGATACTTGGAGTTGAAGTATCGATATATTATTGTCCAAAATAATATTACGATATGTAACGGTATGATTCCCCCCACCCCCCATCACTAACATGAATTCCTGCGCAGGATAATAGTGTGTCCTCCAGTGAACTCCTTGCCCACTCTTATCTGGATGAACAACACTGCACTGTTCCCTAAGTGAACCCTGAACACAACCTCAGTTACCTACCATGTGATCTTCTTTCTGGACAGGCATCAGAGTAGGAGTGCTGATTTAGGATACATTATGCCTTTTACAGATGTAGGATTTTAATTTGATCACTCTTTTGTGGCTTTACATTTTCCTGTTGGTGTAGGGTTATTTTCCTGCTGTAGCAAACTGGCTCAAATAAAGATCCTACATTTGTAGATCACAATGATTAAGATTACAAGGACGGGGGGGGGGACCTGATCCAACATCAGTATTAGTACTCTGATACGCTTAATACATATGGCCCAAAGTTTTGACCCTAAGGGCCCTGGTCAAAAGTAGTGCACTAAATAGGGAATAGAGTGCCATTTTGGACGCAGCCATAGTAATGAAAGAGCCAAATACATCAGTCGTTTTTACTAGCAGCAGTGAGTTCCTGGTAGGCTCATAGTGACAAACAGACAGACAGATGGAGACAGTAATAGCATTACTGTTAGGTACTTGCAGGTGGAGATGGAGGAAATGCCTTGGCAGGGAATGGACATTCTCTTTAAGGGAAACAAATCTCTGCTTTATACATGTCAATACACCTCAGTGAGTTTCAGTAGTAGGCCTATCTATTATCACACACCCACACACTGATACACACACCCTATCATTCACTCTTTCTCGCTCTCTCTCTTGCTCCCCGCTCTCTCTCTCTCGCCCCCACCCTCTCTCTTTCTCTGTCTCTCTCTCTCTCTCTCTCTCGCCCCCTCTCTCCTCTCTCTCTCTCTCTCTCTCTCTCTCTCCTCTCTCTCTCTCTCTCTCCTCTCTCTCTCTCTCTCTGTCTTCTGTCTGTCTGTCTGTCTGTCTGTCTGTCTCTCTCTCTCTCTCTCTCTCTCTCTCTCTGTTTCTCCCTTTCTTTCTCACCTTACCACTCACTGACAGATACATGTACACACGTACTGACAGATACATGTACACACGTACTGAAAGATACATGTACACACGTACTGAAAGATACATGTACACACATACTGACAGATACATGCTCCTTTACCCATTCACTTAGAACCTCCAATAAACCCCTGCTGTAATACTTGAGTTGAGAGTGCCTTGAGTTTCTTAGCCTTAGTTCAAACACTGCTCTATCGCCACTCCGAACAAAAAAAAAGATGTCACTCTTTGGAAGAGCAGGGATAGAGTGCCGTCTGAAACATTGCAGTGCGCCTCGTCTGACTTTTGACGATAGTTCGGCAGCCTCTGCCTCTCTTTCGGTGCGGTGCAGGTGAAGCATGCCTGTGTTTCATGCAGCGAGCCAGAGCAGTTCTTCCACTGTCGGGAGAAATGGTAATGCATATTATTATATGATAATTGAATGCAAATAAAGGTTCTGTCGTAGTCGGCCGCGACCGGGAGACCCATGGGGCGGCGCACAATTGGCCACATTCCCTCCCCTACCCTGGACGACGCTAGGCCAATTGTGCGCCGCCCCATGGGCCGACTACGACAGAACCTTTATTTGCATGCAATTATCATATAATAATATGCAGGGATGTAGCTCAGTTGGTAGAGCGTGGCGTTTGCAACGCCAGGGTTGTGGGTTCGATTCCCACGGGGGGCCAGTATAATTTATTATAATTTTTTTATTATGCACTCACTAACTGTAAGTCGCTCTGGATAAGAGCGTCTGCTAAATGACTAAAATGTAAAAATTTTAAAAATGTTGATTTCTACCACACCCACAACGGAAGCACAGTCATGGCCTCAGATTAGTAGGTGAGGCTAAGGCTCATGGTTAGTGTAGTTTTTGGTGTTCTTTGAAACCAGGAAATGACGGTAAAAACATCACTTCTCAACACAGCGGTTGAAACATTCATAACCGATGGGCAATACATCAACATACAAATTGAATGTCTACGTTGCACAGTAGGCCTAATATCGCTAACAGATCTCATGGTTTATTTTAGGGATGAGGAGACTCTTCCTGATTCCTTAGTACATGTTACGTTAACCGAGACACATGAAACCAATCATATTCACAGTTTCAAACATTAACTTCAGCACTGCACAGGTGTGTGAATCATCTTTATTTGTCTTTTTAGTGCAATAAACTTGATGGTTTCTTTAACACAAGAGGTCGGTGTTATGCCTGAATTTGACCCAAAACCAACGAGGAAGTCTGCAGCGGTTGTATGAAACCAATCAGTATGTCAAGCAAAGCTCTCAACCGTGCCAGCCCACTCTTAATTTCTATAAGTTCGGCGTCTGAACTTTGCGTTAGAAAAGTTCTGTCCACCCCCAAACTCCCTGTGGGGTCCAGCTCCCTGTCCCTGTCTCTCCCTCCCCTTCCCTCATCCCCACCTCCCCTTTCTACATCCCCTTGCCTCCCCTGAGGCCCGTCTCCTCTCCCCTCCAGAGGCCTGAATGGAGGTGAGGCAGGGGGTTTAGGCAGGGGAGGCGGGGCGAGGTTAGTTGAGGCAGGTGGAGCATGAGTTATGACCATAGGGACACTCTATATCACCCTCGGAAGCCCGAAACCCGATCCCCTCACCCCCTCCTGGACCAGGTGAATAGCTCTTTGTTATGGAGAAATTAGAGGAATTCTAAAGGGACAAACCTCTCGCCATCAAGGCTCTGACTGCCACAGTGTGTGTGTGTGTGGTCCTTGTCTTAGTTCAGAGACTGGTATTTTAACATGCTTGATGTGTACGGTTACTTGGCAATGGAAAGAACCACGTTCAATATGTACATGTACAGGATTTGTATTGCGTCGTCCTCATCCCCTGCTATTTTCCATGAACAGTGATGAATGCATAACATTGAGGGGTTGTTTTGTAAATAAAAAAAATTATCCTTCATTTCTCTTTCTCAATCTATTTCTCTCTCTCTAGGTGGATAAAGTTTGAGGAGAAGGTGGAAAAGGGAGGAGAGCGTTGGAGTAAGCCCCACGTGGCCACCCTGTCCCTTCACAGTCTGTTTGAGCTGAAGACCTGTATTGAGAAAGGCACCATCCTGCTGGACCTGGAGGCCTCCACTCTACCACAGGTGGTCGGTAAGACAACTACGCTTCCCATAAGCCCCGGCATCTCACTGCACCAGGACACGCAAAAACATCAGTCAGTGTCTGTCTGACTGTGAAGTGCTTTTAAAATTGGGACATTCCAAAACAGTGCTCTTTGAAACCAAGTGTCCTCAATATTGACATTCTCTTCATCCCCTTTTCCCCCCCTCTCTCTGTCCCCCCTCTCTCTGTCCCCCCCTCTCTCTGCCCCCCCCTCTCTGTCCCCCCTCTCTCTATCCCCCCTCTCTCTGCCCCCCACTCTCTCCCCCTTCTCTCTGTCCCCCCCTCTCTCTGTCCCCCCTCTCTCTGCCCCCCACTCTCTCCCCCTTCTCTCTGTCCCCCCCCCTCTCTCTGTCCCCGCCTCTCTCTGTCCCCCCCTCTCTCTGTCCCCCCTCTCTCTGTCCCCGCCTCTCTCTGTCCCCGCCTCTCTCTGTCCCCGCTCTCTCTGTCCCCCCCTCTCTCTGTCCCCGCTCTCTCTGTCCCCCCCTCTCTGTCCCCCCCTCTCTCTGCCCCCCTCTCTCTGTCCCTCCCCCTTTCTCTGCCTCCCCTCTCTGTCCCCCCCTCTCTCTGTCCCCCCTCTCTCTGTCCCCGCTCTCTCTGTCCCCCCCTCTCTCTGTCCCCCCCCCTCTCTCTGCCCCCCCCCCCCTCTCTGTCCCCCCCCCTCTCTCTGTCCCCCCCTCTCTCTGTCCCCCCCTCTCTCTCTGTCCCCCCCCCTCTCTCTGTCCCCGCTCTCTCTCTGTCCCCGCTCTCTCTGTCCCCGCTCTCTCTGTCCCCCCTCTCTCTCTGCCCCCCTCTCTCTGTCCCCGCTCTCTCTGTCCCCCCCTCTCTCTGTCCCCCCTCTCTGTCCCCCCTCTCCCTCTCTCAGAGTTGATCACTGACAACCAGATCGAGATCGGTCAGCTGAAGGCCGAGCTGAAGGATCAGGTCATGTACACGTTGCTACGAAAACATCGTCACCAGACCAAGAAGTCCAACCTGCGCTCCCTTGCCGACATCGGCAAGACGGTGTCCAGTGCAAGTAGGCTGTTTTCCAACCAAGACCAGAACGGTAATGCAGATGCCAGTTTGGTGCAGTCTTTTATTTTTTCTCCTTACCATCTACTTCCTACCCTATCCCAATAAGTTCTACCAATCACATCTACCATGATTGATTTTTCCCTCTGGTGGACTTTGTCATCAATTCTATAGGATAGGGTGTAGTGTATGATCAACATTATGGGCCATCATTTGATTGCAGTAAAGATGTTATAGGTACATATATCTAGGTGGTTATAGACTGAACTATTAACAATGTGAATTTGCCTGGCAAGATTCCTGTAACTCTTCGTGTCGATGCTTTTTTTTCCTTCTAAATACTACAATCTCCAAAATGGATTCAGACTTTACAGCATGTGATTTAATTATTTATCAAAACCATAACTGCTTGGATAGCCACTCACAATAATATGGTACTGCACTTTGAAGTGTGTGAGATTGTTCTTGTTCTGTCTATCCTCTAACTGCACTCTTTACTCTCCTGCACAGACTAACATTCTCTACACTGTCTTTGTGGGAAAAGTCTCATCAATTATTTTATTTATTGTATTTAGTGGAAAAAGGAAGGAAGGACGGAAGGAAGGAAGGAAGGAAGGAAGAAGGACGGAAGGACGAAGGAAGGAAGGAAGGAAGGAAGGAAGGAGGATAGGCCAGGACGGAAGGAAGCGGACGGAAGTAAAAAACGCGATAGCAGGACTCTCTCCGCGAAGTCTTCTCGCGAGATGCGCCTCTCTGTCTATATCTCTCTATCTCTTCTCTCTATCTCTCGCTCTCTCTATCTCTCTCTCTCTCTTCTCTCTCTCTCTCTCTCTCTTGGGATGGCTCTGTTCTACACTAAGACGCGTCCCCATGAACAGTCCCCAGTCCCAATTTTGTGCCGTTATGCAACCAGAGCTTTTGGCCCCTGAGGAACCGATCGAGGAGGTCCCAAAGGAGCTCCAGCATGCAATACATCAGTAAGTCAGGTTATAATGCATTTATAACACATGGGATACCTTAGTAAGTCAGGTTATAACACATATGGCACAAGGGATGCCTGTGTAAGTCAGGCTGGCTATAATGCATTATAACCAGGGATTGGAACCAAAGTTATTTTCCTATTGTTTCGTTCTGAACAGAACCACAATTTTTTTTCATTTTGTTCCACTGTTCCGACTAGCAAAATAAAGTTCTGAACTGGTTCGAACCCCCAAAAAGTTCCAGTTTATATTGTTCCTTTCTGTTCCTTTTTTAAACTCTGAAATCACGTTTTTACATTTAGCTCATTAAATGACTTCACCAATCAGTGCAGATAGAGCAGACAAGCTAGTTGTTTACATGCTTGATGGGCAGCTTGTTAGTTAGCTAACAAGCTTGTGTGTGCAGAGCGGTACCAGAATTAAAAACACGTCTTACCTTTTTGTCATTACTAAATCCAATGTGAAATGTAATAACTAGGCCTATAGTATCCTTAACTAGCATTAAAAAAGTGTATCCATTCTTCTCTAGCTAATTCAAAATCTCTCTATCTTCTAAATCAAGCTTGTAACGTCAGTACAGTAGCCATACTTGGGATGGGGGGGGGGGGGGGGGGGGGGGGGCAGGTAGCTTAAACATGCACAGGCAAAGATTATCATCTTGCAGGCAGACACTGGAATACGTTTCTGAGGGCTTTGCATAGGCGCTTTGTTGTGTTTTGTTGTGGGACTAGAAAAAAATGCCTGGAACGTAAAGTAATGTTATTAACTGGTTCCCATGCTTTTAAAATAACGGTTCTGTTCCCTGAACCGGTTCCATCCCCTGAATATAATATTATAATGCATTATAATATACCCTTGTGTGGGATACTTTTGCAAGTGGGTTAAAAAACAATACAACACTCTAACATGGACATTTTTCGGGATGCCTGTGTCAGTCATACGCAAATAATGCAATACAACACTCTAAAACATGGATATTTTTCAGTAAGTCAGGTTATAATGCATTATAACACCCTAGTGTGGGATACCCGTGTAAGTCAGGTTATAATAGTCATATAACATAGTCTATAACAGGTCATAACACATACCTTGACAATAGTCTATGTGCTTATTTGCGATCCAAACTCATATTGCTGATATTAGCATTAATGACTGAAAACAATACTCTCATGGGATATCACTATCAGTCCACTATTTTTGGATGATTTTTTTATACGACTGCATCAAACAGCATCCAAGTCACAGTCCATCATGCCCAGAGAAATAGTAAACAACCAACTAGCTAATGTAGACCCGACTCGACTATTGACCAACTTTGTCAGGTTAAGAGAACTGATACTGTAAGTCGCTCTGGATAAGAGCGTCTGCTAAATGACAAAAAAAAAAAAAAAAAAAAAAAAAAAAAAAAAAATACTGCTGGCTAAAAGAGGGTAAAGAAAGATGGCTATCTCTCCCACTCTCCCACTCGCCCACCAACCCCACCATAGACTACAAATAAGACTGTGTCCGTGCCCTCTCTCTGCATTACTGTGTCAGTGAGTGATCAGTTGGCATCAGATCAGAGATGGACAGGGCATGGCAGTGGGAGATTTCAGTCAGTAGATCTCATCCACTGCAGCTGGCATCGGCCCTAAAGCTTAACTAAGCCCTGGCTGCCTTCCACATTTATATTAGGACTTCTGAAGTTTCTGTTCCTATTTTCTAGTTTCTCTTCATCTCCTTCTCCTTCTCTGAGATCAGTCTAATCTATCTGGGATTTTGTCTTTTCTGGGACTTGTGCTTTACCTTTCATCTCAGTGACTTTGTTGGAGCCCAGGGTCGTGTTCATTAGGCACCAAACGGAAGAAAACCGCCTGAAACAAGGAGGGACTACCTGGTCCAATAAGAAACACTCACATCCGTTTCAGAGCGCTTTAAACCATTTGACTGTTTTGTGCCCTAATGAACACGGTGACTGCTCTCAGTCCTGGTCTTTGAGCTCTGACCTCTGACCCCACAGGTAGCCCAGCCACGACCCATCGGAACCTGACCTCCAACAGCCTCAACGACTTCTCTGACCAACCAGATAGAGACCAGGTGAGGATATTGTTGTGTGTGTGTCTGTGTTTGGGCACTCTAAATTTCAACTCCTGCTCTAACACTATGCAGGGTCAAGGAGTGGGCACAGTGTGTGTGTTTGTGTGTGATGGAGTGTGTTTCTAGGGGTGTGTGGCCTTGCTCGACTGATAAAGCCTACGAGCCTAACACACAAAGATAAGAGCCCTGACACTCTCTCTTAAGTGTTTGGTACCAATGTTGCCACTCCTCGTGAAGTCTGCTGAAACCAGTACACAGACACAGTAACTAACTCCCGGAACAGTAGCTAATTTGTCAAGTTGCTCTGGCGTTTGATAAAACACCATGACCTTGCTTAGTTGATCATCTCCTCACCCGAGGTCTCTGGATGTTTAGGTTTTTTGCATTTCACTGGGACTAAGTAGTACGTCAGAGTCCCATTTAGGCCTTCATTTGAATATAGCGGCGTATTGACCTAAAGTGAATGGCTGGTATGCATTCACCAGTTGCACAGAGGTCAGTCTTTTCTGTTGCTACCGTGTTACATTCTCATTAAATAGACTTGTGGTTAAAGTGTATAACAGCAATGAACAGAAGGGACTTTATTATCTGTCCTTCATCATACTGCTTGTGAGTTAGTGAGTCACAGAGTGATAAATACGCTTTAATCTGTTTCTAAAGACGCTACGAGCTGCAGTGTTCCCACACAATACAGCATGCAATGCCTATGTGCTGGGGACGGGCTGTACTGTGCGGCCCCATTTCATTCATGAAACTGTGTACAACTTTGGAGCATGTGAAATGTCCATTGTTAGAGTACCTTTACTGCTCTTCTCATTCTACTCTGATAAGGACAGTCCTTTCAAGCACTGTGTCTTTTCAATAGAGCAACACATCAGATGTGTGTCAAGGCTAGGATTTCATTGCCTTCTTTCTCGCTCTCTGTTCAACTGTCTATCTCTCCCCTCTCTCTTGCCTCTCTCTCTCTCTCTCTCTCTCTCTCTCTCTCTCTCTCTCTCTCTCTCTCTCTCTCTCTCTCTTCATCTCTCTTTCTCCTCCCCCCTCACCATCTGTAGCTGAAGAATAAGTTTATGAAGAAGCTTCCTCGTGATGCCGAGGCATCTAATGTCCTGGTCGGAGAGGTGGACTTCCTGGACACGCCCTTCGTGGCGTTCGTCCGTCTGCAGCAGGCTGTAATGTTGGGATCTCTGACAGAGGTCCCCGTCCCTACCAGGTAACCAACTACAACCACCATCACCACCACAATCACAACCACATCAGAACTAAACAAACCCACCAAATATACCACATATCTCATTGCCTGTAGAGGCTGATTGGTACTGTAATTATAGAGTTCAACCACTAGTGACCACTGTTTTCTCCAATTTGGGCTTTTTCATGTAAGCTGTCTATTTCTGAATATCCTTCTACTTTTCTCTGTATTTCCTTTCAGGTTCCTATTCGTGCTGCTGGGGCCCAAAGGAAAAGCCAATTCCTACCATGAGATCGGACGAGCTATCGCCACCCTCATGTCTGATGAGGTACGTGACCACTGTGTCCAGCCCACTTACACTGTATATTTACCAAGGGTATGTGCAAGGAGTTGATGATACTGTCCAGTCTTCCTGGAGTTCTAGGAACTTAGTCCGTGTGAATGTATTTTATATTTGTTAATCTGAGTGTGAGTCTATTGGTGCACTGCAGTGTTTGCCCTATGTTTAGTAAATGGTGTCTGAGCAGCTGAAGTATTAAGAGATTAACATAGGCAGAAAGAAGACTCCAGGCCATATATAGCACCCAGGTGGCATATGGCTCAACACAGTGTAGTCTAGGAAACTAAGATGTAGTGTCTTACACAAGGCTTTCTGGATCCTACAGTTGTAATTACCAAATCGGCAAGGCTTACAAGGTTGATCTGGGATTGAAGTCATGGTAAGGTTAGAATAGATTTTAGCCTTGTACTTCCACATTGATCTCGCGAGATTACATACAGTCAGGTCCATAATTATTGGCACCCTTGAAGATTAGCAAAAAAGACTGCATAAAATAAATAATACAAATACTGAGATATATTGTAGGCTCATTTTCTTGCTCATTTTTGGCTAATCTTTATCAAGGATGCCAATAATTATGGACCTGACTGTTTATGATTTAAATATCTGTGTAGTGAATCATATACACTACCGTTCAAAAGTTTGGGGTCACTTAGAAATGTCCTTGTTTTCGAAAGAAAAGCAATTTTTTGGTAGATTAAAATAACATAAAATTGATCAGAAATACAGTGTAGACATTGTTAATGTTGTAAATGGCTATTGTAGCTGGAAACGGCTGATTTTTTAATGGAATATCTACATAGGCGTACAGAGGCCCATTATCAGCAACCATCAGTCCTGTGTTCCAATGGCATGTTGTGTTTGCTAATCCAAGTTTATCATTTTAAAAGGCTAATTGATCATTAGCCAACCCTTTTGCAATTATGTTAGCACAGCTTAAAACTGTTGTGCTGATTAAAGAAGCAACAAAACTCGCCTTCTTGAGACTAGTTGAGTATCTGGAGCATCAGCAATTGTGGGTTCGATTACAGGCTCAAAATGACCGATCTCGATCTGGTTGTCAGCTCAAACTCGTCTGTCTATTCTTGTTCTGAGAAATGAAGGCTATTTCATGCGAGAAATTGCCAAGAAACTGAAGATCTCGTACAATGCTGTGTACTACTCCCTTCACAGAACAGCGCAAACTGGCTCTAACCAGAATAGAAAGAGGATTGGGAGGCCCTGGTGCACAACTGAGCAAGAGGACAAATACATTAGAGTATCTAGTTTGAGAAACAGACGCCTCACAGGTCCTCAACTGGCAGCTTCATTAAATAGTACCCGCAAAACACCAGTCTCAAAGTCAACAGTGAGGAGGTGACTCCGGGATGCTGACCTTCTAGGCAGAGTTGCAAAGAAAAAGCCATATCTCAGACTGGCCAATAAAAAAAAATGATTAAGATGGGCAGGCTGAGATATGGCTTTTTCTTTGCAACTCTTCCTAGAAGGTCAGCATCCCGGAGTCACCTCTTCACTGTTGACGTATAGTGACGTATAGTATAGTGGGTTTGCAACCCGGTACCACCTGTACGTAAAATTTATGCACGCATGACTGTAAGTCGCTTTGGATAAAAGTGTCTGCTAATTGGCATATATATATTTGTATTATTATTAAGAGATAATGGCATATGGCTTATATAGATGGGATACTGTAAGTATTTACAGTGCCTTGCAAAAGTATTCATCCCCCTTGGAGTTTTTCCTATTTTGTTGCATTACAACCTGTAATTTAAATTGATTTTTATTTGGATTTCATGTAATGGACATACACAAAATAGTCCAAATTGGTGAAGTGAAATGAAAAAAATAACTTGTTTCAAAAAATTCTACAAAATATATAACGGAAAAGTGGTGCGTGCATATGTATTCACCCCCTTTGCTATGAAGCCCCTAAATAAGATCTGGTGCAACCAATTATCTTCAGAAGTCACATAATTAGTTAAATAAAGTCCACCTGTGTGCAATCTAAGTGTCACATGATCTGTCACATGATCTCAGGATATATACACCTGTTCTGAAAGGCCCCAGAGTCTGCAACACCACTAAGCAAGGGGCACCACCAAGCAAGCAGCACCATGAAGACCAATGAGTTCTCCAAACAGGTCAGGGACAAAGTTGTGGAGAAGTACAGATCAGGGTTGGGTTATAAAAAAATATCAGAAACTTTGAACATCCCACAGAGCACCATTAAATCCATTATTAATAAATGGAAAGAATATGGCACCACAACAAACCTGCCAAGAGAGGGCCGCCCACCAAAACTCACGGACCAGGCAAGGAGGGCATTAATCAGAGAGGCAACAAAGAGACCAAAGATAACCCTGAAGGAGCTGCAAAGCTCCACAGCGGAGATTGGAGTATCTGTCTATAGGACCACTTTAAGCCGTACACTTCACAGAGCTGGGCTTTACAGAAGAGTGGCCAGAGAAAAGCCATTGCTTAAAGAAAAAAATAAGCAATCATGTTTGGTGTTTGCCAAAAGGCATGTGGGAGACTCCCAAACATATGGAAGAAGGCACTCTGGTCAGATGAGACTAAAATTGAGCTTTTTGGCCAACAAGGAAAACGCTATGTCTGGCGCAAACCCAACACCTCTCATCACCCCGAGAACACCATCCCCACAGTGAAGCGTGGTGGTGGTAGCATCATGCCATGGGGATGTTTTTCATCAGCAGCGACTGGGAAACTGGTCAGAATTGAGGGAATGATGGATGGCGCTAAATACAGGGAAATTCTAGAGGGAAACCTCTTCACCTTCCAGCAGGACAATGACCCTAAGCATACTGCTAAAGCAACACTCGAGTGGTTTAAGGGGAAACATTTAAATGTCTTGAAATGGCTTAGACAAATCCCAGACCTCAATCCAATTGAGAATCTGTGGTATGACTTGAAGATTGCTGTACACCAGCGGAACCCATCCAACTTGAATGAGCTGGAGCAGTTTTGCCTTGAAGAATGGGCAAAGAATCCCAGTGGCTAGATGTGCCAAGCTTATAGAGACATACCCCAAGATACTTGCAGCTGTAATTGCTGCAAAAGGTGGCTCTACAAAGTATTAACTTTGGGGGGGTGAATAGTTATGCACGCTCAAGTTTTCAGTTTTGTCTTATTTCTTGTTTGTTTCACAAGAAAAAATATTTTGCATCTTCAAAGTGGTAGGCATGTTGTGTAAATCAAATAATACAAACCCCCCAGAAAATCAATTTTAATTCCAGGTTGTAAGGCAACAAAATAGGAAAAATGCCAAGGTTGGTGAATACTTTCGCAAGCCACTGTACATACAAATGGATGATAATGATTAGGATCCAATTACTCTGATCACAATATCAGGAAGAGACAAGTGTGAAACGAGAAATGATTGGTTGTGTGCTGCTGTTGATGTTAATAAGGTTTCTCATTGGTTGTGTTTTGGTCAGGTGTTCCATGACATTGCCTACAAGGCCAAGGACAGACAGGACCTGCTGGCAGGCATCGAGGAGTTCCTGGATGAGGTCATCGTCCTACCCCCTGGGGAGTGGGACCCTGACATCAGGATAGAACCCCCCAAGTCCCTGCCCTCTTCTGACAAGAGGTACAGCACTGCCACACACACCGCTGGTCCTAGTAGGGTTACACAATTCTGTAAACTTTCCTAGTTCCAGAAAATTACATAAATTGCGCATGTTTCTTTTTAAAAGATACCAGGACTATTCCCTCTCTTTCCTCCAAACTGGGTACTCATGGTGGACCATAAACAATCAGATGTGTGTTGGAGAGTGATGTCTGTGGGTTAACCTACTGTGTGTGTCTGTATAGGAAGAACCAGTATAATGCTGGGGGTGGAGGGGATGGGCCCCAGATGAACGGGGACACACATGGACATGACGGGGGTCAGGGAGGAGGAGGGGGACATGGACATGTCGGAGAAGAGCTCATGAACACTGGAAAGTAAGGATGACACTGCTCATTACTACTCATTACTACTGTTGCCAATAACAACATGTAGTACATTGATAGAATGTCACTCAGCAGGGCCTCAACTCTCACTGAAATCGGAATGCTACAACTATTTACTATAACACTATAACTCCACGCATGTTACTAAGGAATTCCAGGAAATTACACCTCAGGTGTGTGGCCAAAGCAAGACACTATTTACCATTGCCTTTTCGTTGCGCTATGTGCCACACACTGATTTGTGATGAGACAGCATCTTTAGTAATCTCGTAAACCAGACAGATACAGTAGCTACGCTGACCAAAACAGAATGGGGATCGTAGCGATTCATCTCCTTTACGAGGATTTTACATCTTTATAATAATGCTATAACAATAATAAAAACTTTGTGGCATAAATGTAACATTTCACTGTCACATTTTCATTGTTAAGGTTTTGCGGCGGCCTCATTTTGGACATCAAGCGGAAGCTGCCATTCTTCGCCAGTGATTTCTATGACGCCATTCACATCCAGTCGCTGTCCGCCATCTTGTTCATCTACCTAGGCACCGTGACCAATGCAATCACCTTCGGAGGGTTGCTAGGAGACGCTACGGAAAACATGCAGGTGAGCCCCACCTGTTTATATGTCTTTGTGAAACAGAACCAGTTGAAATATTTATTATATATACAGTACCTGTCAAAAGTTTGGACACACCTACTCATTCAAGGTTTTTTCTTTATTGCAGTTGCCACTAACTGTGTGTTAAGGTCATATGCCAAGACAGATGTGTGCATATTGCTGGCTAGGATGATCTGGTTTACTGTAGGGACGCAGGCGGCTTGTTGAGTGTTAGAGTATGAAGTGGGAGAGTTGGGGAGAGTACAACTAATCACACAAGTTTACTCAGCTACGTCAGTCGAGGCAGGCACGCGTGAGCTGAGGAGAGCTGGCCTCAGGGGATTTGGCTCCACTAGAAATAACCACAGATCCAGATTACTCAGCTAGCCTCGTCACTGCCCCGTCTCCTCCGTCCTCCCCCAGCCTCACTCCACTGTGTGGGAGGAGGGGAAGGGAATCCCTCTCCTGACCTTTCCCAGAAGCCATAGCTATCCAAGCCTCAGTGCACAGTGTTCCAGGCTGCGTAGCTCTGATCCTGCATCCCAGCTGTCCACTGTCTCCCGACCCAGGCCTAGTGATGGTATGTAAAAGACAGCTAGTATAAACACATGATGGCACAATGTGAACTTGAACAGGGCTGTCTGTCCTGATTGGCCAGTATAACAGCTCTGTGTATGTCTGGAGCTGTGTGATGGGGGAAATAGAACACTCGCTGAATCGGCAGATTGATATCATGATGTGGAAAGCTTAAAATCAAATGAAATTGCATTTGTCACGTGCTTCGTAAACAACAGGTGAAGACTAACACTGAAATGCTTACCAACAATGCAGAGAGAAAAATATATAAATAATAGAACAAATAATAACGAGGAATAAATACACAATGAGGAACGATAACTTGGCTACACAGTGCCTTTGAAAAGTATTCAGACCCCTTGACTTTTCCCACATTTTGTTCTGTTACAGCCTTATTCCAAAATTGATTAAATATGTATTTTTTTTCCAGCAATATACACACAATACCCCATAATGACAAAGCAAAAACTGTTTTTTAGATTGTTTTGCTAATTTCTAAAAACTAAAAAACAGATATACCTTATTTACATAAGTATTCAGACACTTTGCTCTGATACTTGAAATTGAGATCAGGTGCATTCTGTTTCCATTCATCATCCTTGAGATGTTTCTACAACTTGATTGGAGTCCACCTGTGGTAAATTCAATTGATTGGACATGATTTGGAAAGGCACACACCTGTCTATATAAGGTCCCTCAGTTGACAGTGCATGTCATAGAAAAAACCAAGCCATGAGGTCGAAGGAATTGTCTGTAGAGCTCCGAGACAGGATCGTGTCGAGGCACAGATCTGGGGAAGGGTACCAAAAAACGTCTGCAGCATTGAAGGCCACCAAGAACACAGTGGCCTCCATCATTCTTAAATGTAGCTCAGTTGGTAGAGCATGGCGCTTGCAATGCCAGGGTTGTGGGTTCGTTTCCCATGGGGGGCCAGTATGAAAAATGTATACACTCACTAACTGTAAGTCACTCTGGATAAGAGCGTCTGCTAAATGACTAAAATGTCACTGTAAATGGAAGAAGTTTGGAACCACCAAGACTCTTCCTAGAGCTGGCTGCCCAGCCAAACTGAGCAATCTGGGGAGAAGGGCCTTGGTCAGGTAGGTGACCAAGAACCCGATGGTCACTCTGACAGAGCTATAGAGTTCCTCTGTGGAGATGGGAGAACCTTCCAGAAGGACAACCATCTCTGGGGCACTCCACCAATCAGGCCTTTCTGGGAGAGTGTCCAGACGGAAGCCACTCCTCAGTAAAAGGCACATGACAGCCCGCTTGGAGTTTGCCAAAAGGCAGCTAAAGACTCTCAGACCATGAGAAACAAGATTCTCTGGTCTGATGAAACCAAGATTGAATTCTTTGGCCTGAATGCCAAGTGTCATGTCTTGAGGAAACCTGGCACCACCCCTAAGGTGAAGAATGGTGGTGGGGATGTTTTTCAGCGGAAGGGACTGGGAGAATAGTCAGGATCGAGGCAAAGATGAACGGAGCAAAGTACAGAGAGATCTTTGATAAAAACCTGCTCCAGAGCACTCAGGACCTCAGACTGGGGTGAAGGTTCACCTTCCAACAGGACAACAACCCTAAGCACACAGCCAAGGCAGGAGTGGCTTCGGGACAAGTCTCTGAATGTCCTTGAGTGACCTAGCCAGAGCCCGGACTTCAACCCGATCGAACATCTCTGGAGAGACCAGTTGTGCAGCAACGCTCCCCAACCAACCTGACAGAGCTTGAGAGGATCTTCAGAGAATGGGAGAAACTCCCCAAATACAGGTGTGCCAAGCTTGTAGCGTCATACACAAGAAGACTCGAGGCCGTAGTCGCTGCCAAAGGTGCTTCAACAAAGTACTGAGTATATATATATATATATTTTTTTTGCTTTGTCATTATGGGGTATTGTGTATTCATTGAGGAAAAAAACAATTTAATCAATTTTAAAATAAGGTTGTAATGTAACAAAATGTGGAAAAATTCAAGGGGTCTGAATACTTTCCAAATGCACTGTATACACGGGGTACCAGTACAAAGTCGATGTGCAGGGGTACAAGGTAATTGAGGTAGATATAGGGATAAAGTAGGGATAAAGTGACTAGGCAACAGGATAGATAATAAATGGTATCAGCATTGTATGTGATGAGTCAAAAGAGTTAGTGCAAAAAGGGTCAATGCAGATAGTTAAATAGTTAACCAATAGCTACCCGGACTAAGTATTTAGAAGTCTTATGGCTTGGGGGTAGAAGCTGTTCAGGGTCCTGTTGGTTCCAAACTTGGTGCATCGGTACCTCTTTCCGTGTGGTAGCAGAGAGAACAGTTTATGACTTGGGTGGCTGGAGTATTTGACCATTTTTAGGGCCTTCCTCTGACACCGCCTGGTATAGAGGCCCTGGATGGCAGGGAGCTCGGCCCTAGTGATGTACTGGGCCGTACGCACTACCTTCTGTAGTGCCTTACAGTCGGATGCCAAGCAGTTGCCATACCAAGCGGTGATGCAGCCAGTCAAGATGCTCTCATTGGTGCAGCTGTATAACCTTTTGAGGATCTGAGGCCCCATGCCAAATCTTTTCAGCCCCCTGAGGGGGAAGAGGCATTGTCGTGCCTTCTTCACGACTGTGTTGGTGTGTGTGGACCATGATAATTCCTTAGTGATGTGGTCATTGAGGAACTTGAAACTCTCAACCCGCTCCACTACAGCTCCTTTGATGTGGATTGGGGCGTGCTCTGCTCTCCTTTTCGCTGACATTAAGGTAGAGGTTGTTGTCCTGGCACCACACTGCCAGGTCACTGACCTCCCTATAGGCTGTCTCATTGTCGTTGGTGATCAGGCCAACCACCGTCTTGCCGTCAGCAAACTTAATGATGGTGTTGAAGTCGTGTGCGGCCACGCAGTCGTAGGTGAACAGGGAGTACAGGAGGGAACTAAGCATGCACCCCTGAGTGGCCCCCGTGTTGGGGGTCAGCGTGGCGGATGTGTTATTGCCTACCCTCATCACCTGGGGGCGTCCCGTCAGGAAGTCCAGGATCCAGATGCAGAGGGAGGTGTTCAGTCCCAGGATTCTGAGCTTAGTGATGAGCATTGAGGGGACTACAGTGCCTTCAGAAAGTATTCAGACCCCTGAACTTCTTCCACATTTTGTTGTGTTACAGCCTAAATTTAAAATTGATTAAATTGAGATTATTTTTGCCCCATAATGTCAAAGTGGAATTATGTTTTTAGAAATGTTTACAAATTAATTAAAAAGGAAAAGCTGAAATGCCTTGAGTCAATAAGTATTCAACCCCTTTGTTATTGCAGATCTAAATAAGTTCAGGAGTAAAAGTTTGTTTAACAAGACATAATAAGTTGCATGGACTCACTCTGTGTGCAATAATGGTGTTTAACATGGTTTTTGAATGACTACCTCATCTCTGTACCCCAAACATACAATTATCTGTAAGGTCTCTCCATCGAGCAGTGAATTTCCAACACAAAGACCAGGGAGGTTTTCCAATGCCTTGCAAAGAAGGGCACCTATTAGTAGATGTGTAAAAAAAAAAGCAGACATTGAATATCCATTTGAACATGATGACGTTATTAATTACACTTTGGACGGTGTATCAATACACCCAGTCACTACAAAGATACAGGCGTCCTTCCTAACTCAGTTGCCGGAGAATAAGGAAACCACTCAGGGATTTCACCATGAGGCCAATGGTGACTTTAAAACAGTTTGTTTAATGGCTGTGATAGGAGAAAACTGAGCATGGATCATCAACATTGTGGTTACTCCACAAAACTAACCTAATTGACAGAGTGAAAATAAGGAAGCCACTAAAGAATAAAAATATTCAAAAAATGCATCCTGTTTGCAACAAGTCACTAAAGTAATACTGCAAAAAATGTGGCAAAGCAATTCACTTTTTGTCCTAAATACAAAGGGTTATGTTTGGGACAAATCCAATACAACTGAGTACCACTCTTCATATTTTCAAGCATAGTGTTGGCTGCATCATGTTATGGGTATTCTCGTAATCGTTAAGGACTGGGGAGTTTTTCAAGATAAAAAAATAAACTGAATGGAGCTAAGCACAGGAAAAATCCTTCTGAAAAACCTGGTTCAGTCTGCATTCCACCAGACACTGGGAGATAAATTCACCTTTCAGCAGGACAATAACCTAAAACACAAGGCCACATCTACACTGGAGTTGCTTACCAAGAAGACAGTGAATGTTCCTGGCCGTGATACAGTTTTGACTTACATACATATAAATACATATAAACTCAGCAAAAAAAGAAACATCCCTTTTTCAGGACCCTGTCTTTCAAAGATAATTCGTAAAAATCCAAATAACTTCACAGATCTTCATTGTAAAGGGTTTAAACACTGTTTCCCATGCTTGTTCAATGAACCATAAACAATGAA